GATTGCCATTCTAAGTTGGCTTTTTAAAACTGTAATAAAAAACAAAGTGAAATCCAAATAAAATGTATACCTTTATAAACTAGTTTGATTATGATCGCAACACGTGTTTTCAACTTTAATCAAATTTTATTCAACTCAATGTTTCTTTTTAGAGACCTTAGACTGTATTTGAAGAATGTGAAAATTGCTTGGGTAAATTTAAAAAACTCAAGTACTTGGTTTTCTGTGCCAATTGCAGAGTTGCTAATTGAATGGAACAATGAATTGCTTTTAGAAATCGCCCATTTCGCTGGCAATAAATTAGAAGCACAAACACCGAAAATAATTTATGAGCCAGTCACAATGATTGGAAACCACACATGAAACATAAAGGTTAAAGGGGGGTTTGCGGGTGTTGCAACCAGCGCCCATGACAGGTGGTGTCTTCTAACCCCCACCCCCCACCCACCCTGTCTTTCGGTGTGTGTGTGTTTTGTGCTAGTGTATATGTGTGTGTTTATGCCGTGACGCAGTCGCAGCTTCAAATTCAAACGTCAGCTTGCAATCTTTCACTTTTTTTTCGTGTCTGCCGCGGCGTCGTTCGTTCCAGTTTTTCGTAAATTATTTCCCCAGCATCGCTATTATTTTGTTATTTTCGCTTTGATTATACACACGCGATGTTGGGAGTAGTATCCATTGCATGTACATAGTTCTGAGCCCTTTTTTTTGACACACTTCTTCTTCGCTGTTTATGTATTTTTCTATTATTTTTACGCATATATGCTAAACAACTTTCTTCTTCTGGTTGCAAAGGGGCGCGCTTTGTGCAAAAGTATTTATCATAAATTTCACACACACGCAGGCACACACAGACACCCACAAAAACGCAGGCGCACACCGATGGCCCCCAACGAGCTCCAAGCACATATATACACACACACACACACTCACAAAAATGGGGGAGAGCAGATTGTTCGCAGTTCGCAAGGTTCGGAATTTGGAGTTTGGAATTCCAATTCTGCGAAGCTTGGCTTTATCACATTTTCGGCATTTGTTGTTGTGGCTCCCAAAGTCTCTCTGCGCCGAACAGCAGGTTTCGAATATTGGGAATGTAACAAAATTTCATTACCAAACACAGACACACGCACAGGCACAACACACGGGCGCGTTCACTCACACATGCACAAGACTCGAGCCGCTTTTCTTCGCTTCTCTTTTCTTTTCCGTTCCGTTCGGTTCCGTTTCACGATCGCTTTGAGACTAGTCGCTGCCTGTTCGCTGTTCGCTGATTGGAATCCGCCGCTCTGAGCCGAGCTTTAAAGCTCGCTGCGCAAAGGCAACTGCGCATGCCCAACATTACTATCGATAGTTAACTGTTGGTCGGCAATGGTGTGACCATATTGCAAGTAACGGTAATGATCTCAATTTAAAAACATGTTACAACGGTTTCGGAGATTATACCCCAAATAACTTCTTATATTCTTATAGACATAAATATATCTATATTAAAAACGATTTTCACAATTTTAATAGCTTTTGTTACAAATATTTTATCCTTCTAGACTAGACATTAACGACGCCGCGCCACGCCGCCGCCGCTAAATCACGAAAATATTAATATATTGTGTATTCCGGCAACGAGCACACCTAGTGATTACTAAACTTACCGTTTCTCAAAAACGATCGCAGCTCAGTCCTCATAATCTTACTAAATTAATATTTAAGGAAAATAAATAAAAATTGAAGAAATCTTTCAGAAAAATAGATATATATATTTCAAAAAAATTTTTATATATTTCATTAAAAAAAAATTTTTTGTTTTTACTACGTACACCGCCGGCCGCCGACAAATTTGACGGCTTAGCTGCCGCCGTCTAACTCTACGCCGCCGCCATCGGAGTAAACTCTACAATTGATTCTTGGCTTAGAATGCTGGAGTTGACCATAATGTTCAAGAAACATCTGTTTCCTATGTGCAGTTACATGCTATATTTTATATTTTTAAAACTTCCTTTTGCCTTCCTTTCAATCAATTTTGGCATTATAAATGGTTGTAAAAATATTTAAAAGAAAAGTCTTTAGAAAGCTAAGCAAAAACCAATGTTATAAGCAGGGATCGTAAATAAGAGTTGTTTGTGATTTTTATTTTAAAAGACTTCCTGGCAATTTTATTTAGTTTTTAACCAAGTAGTCGGATTTTTGCTCTAGTCGGATTTGTTTATTGTCCAAATTTGTTGATTGTTTTATACTTTTTTAATGTGATTTTTATTTTAAAAGACCTCCTGTGTTATTTATTTAGTTTTGTCGGATTTTTGCACACTGTTTAGTCAAGCGTAAATATAGTTTTGTTTATTGTCCAAATTTGGTGATTATGTTATATTTGGTTGACATGAGTAAAATGATCGTATTTTTTAAGTTTAATATTACAGTATCACAAGAAACTTGAATTTACGGACCCTGTCTTTAACGAAACCCCTTTATATGTGATTGTATTGCTAACTTGAAAATACTGTTAGTCATTTGAATTATTATTTAAAATTAAAATCCTTGTCCAACACTATTCTTCCTGCAGCAGCGATATATCGATAGTCGCTGAACTTATGAACTTTGGTGTGCCTGCAGTTTGGTATTTGCCCTTTTTCCGCCTGCGGTCCTACTAACTTCAACAACTGTGAATTTAATAACAAAAGAGGGCAAAAAGGGAAAACGCAAAAAGTTATGGGGAATCAGTTGGGAATCCAGATGAATAGCGATGACGATGAAGACTTTGACTCCTCGGAAAACGATCTGGGCTTTAACGTGATTAACTTTACGGTGAATTCATTGGACATGGAAGTGCGCACTGACTATTGCAACAACGACCTGCCAATAATAAGAAGCAAGCCCGATCTTGTCAAGTTTCAGGTAATCACGAAATACCCCGTCCCCAGATAAGGGCAGAATGTGATTTGTGGTGTCGTTAACATTCCAGAACACTGATATGTACAAGGAGATTCGGGCTTCGAGTGGCCTAGTGAGCAATCCAGACAATCGCTGGAATCTGGTGCAGGCCCTTCAGCAGCGAGAAAATGGGATAGCCTCGCCCCACAGCGCATCGTTTTCCAAGAACCAGCAGCGCTACATTTCCAATCTCTACATACCAAACAAGAAGTCCACGCGCCTCATGTCGCTGGACTCGAAAGTCTTTGTGACCAAATTCAATCCCACGGGCAGCAAACTGCTGGTTGCCTGTCAAGGTCAGCATATTTTGATTAAAGCTTCGAGGGTCGTTTAAACATGTCTGTTGACCTTTTCAGATGGCTTTGTGCGCATCTACGACGGCGCCAAGGGCACCTACCACCTGCTAAATCGCATTCGAGCCCGGGATGTCGAGTGGAGCATCATCGATGCGGACTTCAGCCCGAATGGCCAGCACTTTGCCTACAGCACCTGGTCCCGCTCATGTAGGTAGCCAGTGAGTCCGGGTGATCCATACTTATTTGTTCCCTCTTCAGTTTTCATCATGCCCGTGAATGGGGGCGAAGACGACTGCCAGTGGATCGACGTAAATGGTCTGCCCAACCATCGGCTAGCCATCTTCTCGCTGCGCTACTCGCCTACGGGCGACAAGATCATCGGCGGCAGCAACAATGCCACGGTCATCGTGACCGACATCCACACAAGAACCACGCAGATCCTGCGCACCCACCGCATGCCCGGCAACGATGTGAATTCGGTGTGCTTCCTGCATGACAAGGACCCAAATGTGATAATTGCCGGGTGCGATGATGGCCTTCTTAAGGTCTATGATCTGCGCACATCTTTCCGCTCCCGCGAGCTCTCCAAAACGGTGGCCTCCTTCATCGGTCATTACGATGGCGTCACATATATCGACTCGCGCAACGACGGCTATCATGTGCTGTCCAACTCCAAAGACCAAAGCATCAAGATCTGGGACATGAGGCAGCCCAGCAATATGCGTAATCGCAGCCGCTCCAGACAACAGCAGCTGGACCTCCATATGTGGGATTACCGTTGGAACCGCGTGCCGCGACAGTGTAAGCCCTGGAATTTAAGATTCTTCGAAATACCCCCAATGTAACCATACTCGCTTTGCAGTTTACAATCCAAATAAGGAGCTGGATGGGGACACCAGCATTATGACCTATCGTGGTCATCGAGTTACCAAAACCCTGTTGCGGGCCAAGTTCTCGCCCATGGCGCAGACAGGACAGCGTTTCATTTACACCGGCTGTGCCACAGGACGTATTATAAGTGAGTTCAATTTAGCCTTCAATTTATGTTTACTTACAAGGCCTACAACAAAAATATTGTCTAAATTTAGTTGCGAGTAATTTCGGTTTGTATTTTTAGAAATTTTCTATCCTTGAAAATGTGTTTGCGTAACCAGTAGCCATATGTTTATGACTTCAGACATTGTTTATGCTTTTTTATCAACATTAACTGTTTTGTTAAATTGATTTTTTATTTAAACTTCCGTCTTATCCTTAAAACAAAATATATAAATAATTCCCAATTTTTTAACATTAAATGTTCATTAACCCAAAACAATACTATTTTACAGTTTACGATGTACTTACTGGTAAGATTAAAGAGGCTATTGAAGGACATAGGAATGTGATAAGAGACCTGGACTGGCATCCAGATCGCTCCGAAATTGTTTCTGGTTCGGTAAGTTAGCAAACAATTAATATTTTTCGAATTTACTTTAATTCTGAAGTTAATTTGCAGTGGGATACTCATGTTCATCTGAACAACTTCAGCCGCAGCAACGCTAATCGTCCGGTGAAGCGAGCAAATAGCTCCGAACAGGACAAGAGACCATTGCGACGATCGCGCCGCCTAGCTAATCGCAATGTGACACCAGACTAGTTTTAACGTTATGATATTAGCTAGTAAGACCCGCACGATATTACATTTCGTTACATTCATTCATAAATGCGTAGACGACGGGAAAGAATATTCACCACAGTCGGTCCCCATATTGGTTCTATGAACAAGACTGAAGAGTATGTCACAGCTTGAAATGTATAGTTCAGTTTAATTAAATATCTTGTTACACATTTAAATGTAAACCACGAAGCTTACAAACTACCTACTTAAGTTGTTTATGTACAAAACAATCATAATAAGAAATATGTTGAATTATATTTCGTTTGCTCGAACTAAATTCCTTGAAATGCGACCCTTTTTTTTACTGCTCGAAGAGTTGTTCGCTTCACCGTCCTCGGATAACGTGCGTGCCGCTTAGATTTCATAGCTTCCGTAAGGGATTTATTGTTCCAAAGATCAAGGATTCGCAGTTCATCGATCTTATTATTAGTCACCTCCAGCTCGATGGTATCGCTGGTCCCATAGCCCACGATCTGGCTCAGTGTCGAATTTTTATACGCACTCAGGTCGAACATTTGGAATTTTTCTGCACAAAATTGAGAAATTTTACAAGTATTGAATGATTTTAGTTTTTCTTTGATCTCTTCCAGTGATAAGAGGTCGTTAGGCAGATTCGCTGACTGATCGCTTTTATCGCCGGAGGATTTACTGCCAGCACTTACGTTGTTCCTGTGCTTCCCTTCTTCATCATTATTGACTATCGCATCTACGGCTACAGCGAGCTCTGGAATCTGCAGTTCAGGTACGGGTTCCCTATAATTGTTGGATTTCCTTTTCTTTTTTGAGGTTTTTTCATTAGCTTCAGATTCGGTAGGCTGTGTTTCTTTTTGCTCGATCAAATCGGTTTCAACACTTTTATTTTCTTCCTTCGACTTCTTTTTCTTTTTTGAAGATGTTTCTTCTATTATTTCAGTGTTTAACATCTCAGTTTGGTTGGCATCTTCGTCGATTTGAGATTTTCTTTTCCTTTTACTAGCTTTTCCATCTAAAGTTTTAGATTCTGTATCTTTTGCTAAATCATCCTCAATTATAATTACTTCAGAGTCCACCAACTCAGTCTTCTTGGACTTCTTCTTTTTTGGGACATGTTCTTCTTTTTCTTCGGCTACTATTGAATTTTCTGCAGTTTCTTCCTTTTCATTAGACTTCTTCTTTTTTAAGGCAGGCTCTTCAATTATTTCTGTCACATCTTCTGTATTTTCTTCGCGTTTGCTCTTCTTTTTTTTCTTTCGCTTTTGAGGGTTCGATTCGTCGATATCTACTAGTTTTTCCTCAACGCAGAGGATCTCTGTTGGCTCGGTTTCATCTTGAGACGACCGTTTAGACTTCTTTTTCTTAGGTTTGGGAGCAGTCTGCTCTATTTCTTCCTCTGCAACTGGTGGCTCGACATTCCTTTCCTTGTCCTTCTTTTTCTTCTTTTTTTTGCTGGGCTCTTGGCCATTCTCTGTTGCGGTTTCCTCGAGCCTCTCCTCGTGGCCATTTGCTTGGGCCTCAGTATCGTCTTGAACCTTTGTTGAACTATCCTCACCTCGTTTTTGCAGCCTGTTTTTCATGGCCTCCATTTTATGCTTGAAATAATCACTGACAGAAAGTCCCGTGCTTACGGTTTGCACGCCAGCAAAATTGGCATCTACTATCTTTTCCTCCTTGGGCTCTTCAATCACCACGGGCGCTGGTGCAGCGATATCGTCGGTTGCCTTCTTGCCAAATATGTTGGCCAAATCCTTTTCGCTGTACTGGGACAAGTCCTTGCCGCGTGTGAACTTCTTGTAGTGCACTCGGGCCCTGCTTTGTTTCGACCTCTCCTCCAGCGACATGCCACTGGTGTTCTCCTTAAGTTTCTTCTTGGATGGCTCCTCTGGTTCCTCGGCTTTGAAGCCGAATCCCATGGGTCTGGCTTCCTCTTCGGGTTCCGACTCCTTGCCATTAGCCCCATTTTCTTCGCCATTCAATGATTTCAGAAGCCCATTGAATCCCTCCTCGTGAGTGGTCCACTGGTCATCCCTCGCCTCGAAACCCAATCCTTCGGCGTCGTTCTTGAAGCGAATGCGAACAAAGTCCTTTTCACCATCCTGCTTGGCGCCCAGGCCATTGCCCTTTGTCCAGCCCATCTTTTCCAGCATTTTGGTACCAAAGCGATTCTCATCTGCCAAGAATTTTGGGACTTTAGGTTTTAAAAGCCGATTCGAATTCGAAAATCTTACCTTCATAGAGCGCCTTACCGCGCGGACACAAGTTGTACCGCTTGCGGCGTCGAGGTTCCGCCAGCATAGCCATGTTTATATAAATTAAACTATATTTACTGTGTTTTTAACTCAATTTTTAAAATTAAACCAGAATAAAATTGGTAAAATGCGAACCGCCGCAACACGTGCTATCAAGTATCGAATCGAAGCACGAGATATCGATAACGATTGCCTGATCAGCTGTTTGGCAAAAATAGAGGTGAGCATTAATTCCTCAGAGATGCGACTATTGGGCCTGATTTAAAAGCTTGAATACTACATTCACAACATGAAATGTCGTTTTTTATTTGCAATGGAAAATTGTGGAGATTAAAACGAAATGTCTTAATAGTTCTGTTTTAAAAATAAAATTATAGATATTAACAAGTGTATTTACCTAAATAATACCAGTTTATCCATATCGGCGGAACTAAATTCACTTCAAGGCAAGTAACAGGTGATTTACTATTGCACATCGCTAATTGGGTGTGATCACTAAGTTTGCATTTTGTTTGTTTTTTCATTGTTATTAATTTTTTAAAAAGCGGATTTGCAGTCGACTGATAATGGATATAAGTGCGGATGTGGAGCAGATTATAGCCCAAGCTCCGGATTGGAACTTTGCGGGTGATTGCGCTCTCCTGGAGCTGATGAAGCGCATTTCCCAGGTCTGATTGCATATGACGAATCTCTTTATCAACAATACAGTTTGATAAAATGTTTCCAACAGAATCTGCAGGAGAGGGGCGAAAAAACCAGTCGCAATCTAAGGGACTTCGAGACGAGTGTTAGGCAAGTGGATATATCCCTGAACAATGCCACTAACAGCCTACGATCGCTGCAATTTGGCAATCAGTTTGTGGAGTATCGGGTGGAGGAGGTGGATGATGCCGATTTGGCCATGCCAGAGGAAAAGAAGAAGGTGCAATTGTCGATTTTGTTTTCCTATGGATTGGTCTTATAAATCTATATCATCTTGCAGCCTGAGCTGCCGCCCAAGACTTCGGAGGAAATGTCCAAGGAGTTTCTGGAAAACAACCTACGAATGTTCCGCAAGAACTTTGAGCCGGTGACCATAGAAGTGCCCGATTCGGATGACGAGGATGCACCTGTGCACTCAACGTAAGTGGGTTTATTAAACTTTTTCTATTCCTTACCAACTCTCCTTTCCACAGAACCGTATTCCGGGCAAAGAACCCATACGATGCTATTCCCATGCCCTATGTAATTGGCACAAAGGAATGGGAGGAACACAAATACGCCGGATTGTATGACAGTAAGGAAAATAGTGAGGATGAAAGGTCCGAAGAATTCTCCTCCAGCTCATCGGATGAGAGGGAATCCCTACCGGTGAAAATCACAAAGCCAGCGAACAAACCAGAAGAGCCTCATCTATCGGACTCCTCCTCACTAGCCTCGTTTGCTAGGGAACCTGCCATTGTGTCACCCGTTATTAAACCTGCTGTCCAGATCGCAGAACCTGCCATCAGAACACAACCGCGTCCCATCATAAGTAGTCAAAGGAATCCACATGAAAGGGACTTGTTTGCTGCTCTCCGGCAATCGCCGCCTAGCGATGATCCGCCGTCCACTTCATCATCGCCTACATCTTCGCCAGCTTTTAGGAATCCTTCTAGTCGCTTGCCAATAGCGTCTACGGCATCGCTTAGCTCCAGTAGCAGTAGTCCTGCCCAACAGCCACCAAGGCTTTTCGACGAAGCTGTTTCCACACAAACTACGAAGGAAACTGAGGTCAAGCCAAGTCAAACTAAGCGCATGCCTGTAAATCTTTTCAACGACGATCAGTTCAAATCGTTCATGTCCGAAATCGTTGACAAAGTCCAGACCAAGACGGGCAGCAAGACCGTTGAACCCGCTTCAACGATTCCAGTAAAGGAACCACCAAAAGAAAAGGAGTCTTTGAAACAAAACGCAAAGCCTGAGGCACCAAAACAGATTGTTGAGCAATCAGTGTCGAAACGTGTAAATCTGTTTGACGACAGTCCCCCATTGAGTCCAACTCCAAAGGCAGAGCCTCTTTTTAATAATAACAGTAATTCATCAGGTGCTATTCCAAAACGCAACGATCAAACCAAATCCCTCTTTGATAATTCTCCTACAACGAGTGCTTTGCCAAAGGAAAAACCTTCTAAGACAACAAAAACGAAATCGCTCTTTGATGATGATTTGGAGGACGATGACTTCTTGAACTCCTTTAAACCCAAAACAAAGCCACTAGAACAAAAATCGCTCTCAAAACCAACATCGTCTCTATTTGATGATGATGATTTGGATATTGATGATATATTTATAAAACCAACGGCACAGCCGAATAAGCTCTCTGAAAAAGTAGCTGGGAAGACTAGATTATTCGAAGACGATGACCAAGATGATGTCACTGATTTGTTTGGCTCGAGAAAGACCAAAGAAACAAGCAAGGAGTTGCCTTCAGATATTTCGCCCGAGAAAAAGGTAGAGGATTCTCCTCCAGATATATCATCATACAAAAAGGTCGAGCCTCCAATAGCCCAAAAGAAAAGCCTATTCGATGATGATGATTTATTTGGAACACCAAAGGCCAAGAGTTTAATTACAAGTGATAGTACTAACGTTGAAATAGAAACAGAAAGAAAACAAATTGAGATTGAAGAGGAATCTTTGAAAAAGAAAATTAAAGAAAACCAGCCACATGACTTAGGAGTAAATTCATCTGTACCCATTCTTAGTGATTCACCTCCCCCTATAGAAATTGTAGAAGAGAAATCTGAGGGGGAAAAATTGAGACCGGTTAAGAATGTTTTAGCGGAACCTATTATTCCCAAATCAACAGATTTATTCAATGAAGATTTTAGCGATGATGATTCATTCCTAAACCCTTCAAATATTAAGGTTAAACCACACAGTGCTAGCGAAACTAAAGAATTTATTAAACCAACTGATCAAAATACTTTGGAGGCGAAGGAAAATATAGCCCCAGTCAATCTACCCAAGCCTTCTACTAAACCAACTGATTTGTTTAAAGAAGATTTTAGCGATGATGATTCATTCTTGAGTGCATCCAAGACTAAGGATAATTCAGTAGGTGCTACAGTAACTAATGAAATTAAAATACCAGCTAAGCCCCAGTTGGTGAGTGAGATTAAGCCAGAAAAGTTACCACAGAAACTGCCACAGAACAAAGTAGACGAAATCACATCCATCGATGAAAAGGTTGAGGTTTTGCCCGATGTGCTAAGCAAACCTCCAGAACATGTTCCCGTTTCCGAAAGTCCGCCACCAGATGATGATGAAAGCAATCAAGATCCAATTACTACAATGGTGGCCGATGTCACTAACAAGTCACCAAAAGAAATTTCCACCCCAAGAAAGCCTGCGGATCTGGCTGCTGCACAGCAAATCATGCAGAACTACTCGAATCTGTTTTCCGACGAACCGCCGGATGACAGCGAGTTTTTCCAAACGCTCGGAAGCAGCGGTCTGAGCAGCTTAAGTGCATCGAAAATCTTCGACAGCGAGCATGACTTCTTTGAACCCGCCTTGCCCAAAATTCCAAGTGCGACCAAGCCATCGCCAGTGACGCCTGGAGATCAACCTTCTTCATCATCCGACTACGGCGCCATATGTTTGTTTAGTGATATCCCGCCCGAAGATGACAATCATGAAGGTGAAGAATCACAGAAGCCAGCTGATGCTCAAAAGGAGGAATTAGGAGCAACCACAACCCGAATACACACAATTTTCTACGATGACTTTAGTGAAACAGCAAGGGCAGGAGTTGTGCAGCCAGCTGCCAAGCAGTTTAGTTTCGATGAATCACCTCCAGCTGATGAACCAGATCGTAGTAAGGATAAGGGTCTTAAGCTACCCAATCCTACTTCTCCAGTAAAGAAACTGAAAATGCCTAACATCAATATAAATGTGCAGGCCTTGCTTCCTGGCTCTGGAGGCCTACCAAAGTCACTGAGGAAACAAGAGTCATCGAGTTCAGAAAGAGAGGAACCTTCAAGCACAGCCCAGATTAAAGAACCCACACCGAGTTCCAAGGAGAACGTTATACCTTCAGCAGAGGGTGGCCTGCAGCATGTAAACAAATCTCGCGCTCGAGGACCTGCCAAAAGACGACCCTCAACCCGTAGGGGCAGAAGGGAAAATTACGCAAAAAGCTTGCTGGACTCTGAGCAAGGCATAACTTCTTCGAATTCGATTCAGAAAGAAATATCAGATAAAAAACCTTTTGAGGCTACATCCGCCAAGGCTTCCCTTCCTCAGACTGTTAAGAATGAACAGTTGTTTTCTGCTGCAGCACTTCCAACCCTTAATACGCCGCCAGATCTCCAGCCGCAGCTGGAAAAGCCACCTCCGTCTAAATACGGTGGATCATTTTTGGACAGCCCTGATGAAGATGATTCCTTCTTTAATTCTGTTGCAACACATGAAGTTTCTTCTGCAACGACAATTGGAGGCAAACAGGGATCTGATCCACCCAAGTCATACCGATCGTTTTTGGATAGTCCTGATGAAGATGATCTTCTATTCACTCCGTTTGAAAATAAGAAGGCAACTGAAAGAGAGCCGCCCTCCTTTCCACAAACAGTTTCCAAAGAGCCACCAATGGATCGGCGCCAGTTAGAGAAGACCTCGGGACCGACCAAGTTAGGCAACTCTTTTCTGGACAGCCCAGATGAAGATGATTCGCTATTTAGTCCAGTCAAAACAGTGGCGGCTCCTGTTGCTCGGAACGCTGCTGCCGCTACAGCAAAAAGCAAGGAGATTTCTGCAAAAGTGGCACCTGCTCCTCCCAAACTCCCAGACACAGCAAAGGCCCAAGTTAAGCCCAAGCCACAAGCTGCACCAAAACTGTTTGATGACAGCGATGATGACGATGATTTGTTTGCCAGTGCAGCTGTGCCAGCATCTGTGGCCAGTGTCCCAGTTACCAACAGGACTAAGCAGCCCACCAAACCGACGGCCACTTCTCTCTTCAGCAGCGATGACGATGAACCAGAGGTATCAGCTAAGATTGCTCCTGTAAAGAAGTTGCCCGTAAAGACAGGCAAAAGTCTGTTTAGCGACGACGATGATGATGATGACCTTTTTGGAGGGGGCTCGACGTCCAAGGGCAGTACAAGCAAACGAACCAAACCCGTGGCCAAGGCTGCGTCCAAAGCACCTATCAGTAAAGCTCCAACGCCAACTACAATCATTCCCTCTAAATCCAGCGATAATCCTTTGGCCGATCTGCTCGATTTCGAGTAAAAACATGAATGCCTTTTATTACATATATTTACAGTTTTTGATCTGTGGATGGTTAGACTGTCGATCAGAGTATTGTTATCCGTATTCCTAGTAACTATAATAAACAATGAATGTCAATGTCGATGTGTGGTCGATTCTTAGAACTAAACTTGGGGATTCGCTCTGAGCAAGTCACGTTAATTTGACCAGTTGCTCTATTACTTAGTTTATACGCCTGCTATAAATGTTTGTCAAAAAAATTAACAATTTCTCTTCGAGAAAAGTTCTATATGTGATTTTTCTACAATTTGTTTTTGTTTGCTGTTCAATTTATACCGCACTATTTTTTCAGTGGAGTCTCTCATTGAAAACGTTTTTTTAGTTGCCAATAAGGCGTGTTATTTAAAGTAACACATATGTGTGAGATTATTGATTTTGCAAATAACCAAATATTTGCAGACCCATTTTAGCTATATCTAACAAATAGAACCTGCGTATAAACGTGGTATAAGATTCTCCCAGTGTAACGTTAGTCTACGAACTGAAACTGAGTTAGTTTGTGGCTCTTTGGTCGTTATTCCGAGGAATCTCATTCTATGTCGAGCATGTCCTACAACTAGTGAGTGTAACCTAAGCGCTGACTGATGATCGATTGGGATCTGGAACGCGGAAGGACTCAGAGAGCCACATCGCGGTACTTCCGGTAGTCGTCGGATTCGTTGCCCAACGAAAGCTTGCTGTTGGCCGTGATGTACGGATTGGCGTAGTTGGCATAGCCGAAGCCACCGTAATACTGCATCTGCTGGCTGTGGGTGGAGCCGCGTCGCTGCATCGGTTGTGCCAGCACGGTGCCGACGAATCCTCCCGTGGAACTGCAGTTGGATGGCCGACGATAGATGCCGCCCGCCTGTTGGTGGTGCAACTGTTGCTGCTGCTGCTGCTGCTGGTGCAGCAACATGGCCAGGTAGTACTGCTGCTGTTGCGTGTAGTTCTGGAGGAGATTGTTCCCGTAGGCGGTCAAGTCATTCTGCACCTTGCTGATCCCGTCCAGGTTCTCCAGGGACACGCAATTCCGGGACAGTTTGCCCGTTGGCGGCTGCTTGTGAGTTCCGCGTGAACGATGGTGGCCCCTCTGCTTAGCGGGTGGTGGTGTCAACTGTTTGGGTTCGATGGAACAGTAGATGGGATCGTTGCTGGTGGAGCCAATCAGCGAAGGCGGCGACGGTCGATGCGAATCCTGCAGATTATTCTTCAAATCATCGATGGTGATGTTGAAGTACTTGGCGTTCTTGTCCTCCGTATCGAGCACATGTCGCGGATTGTACATTCCAGGCAGGGTGCAGCGCAGATCCATCAAAGACTGAGCGCGATGGCCACCATTTGCTCCACCTGCCCCATTTCGCTGCATCAGGGTGCCGTTGTTGTATTGCTGGGCCAAGGCCGGAGCAAACATGCTGGCATTGAACTCATTCTGGGAGCCAAACGCCTGACTGCCGCCACCTTGGTTGTTCAGACCCAGTCCCATTCCCGGACCCAGTGGTATCTTGGAGCCTGTTTCATCGCACAGCTGGTAGCCGGCGTTCTCGAATCCACTTAGCCGCTGGCTGGAACGCCGGGAGTCCGCCTTGGTCATGGGGACACTGGGTGCGGGCGTTTGCAGGGAGAGTCTGGTGGCCAAGCCCTGCAGCTGGCTCAGCACCTGAGTTTCCCGACGCCACCGGATGCCTGTGGGAATCACGCAGATCAGCGCGAAGCAGTTGATGATCAGGCGAATAAGGTAGGAGGTCAGCTCGGTCAGTCCATGCACCGATTGGAGTCCCTGGAAAGGAGTTCGAATGAAATATTATCCTAGACTTGGGAACACTATTTTATTTTCAAGCCCTACATAACTGAGTTTCTATAAAAATAAAGATTGGTCAAATATAATTCCAAATTATTTTAAAAAATCGGTTTTAAAAATTGAAATATTATGAATACATTATGACTTCGAGACCCATTTCAAGTTTAAATAGTTTAAAATGCCTATAATAAAACAACCATGTATCATTTTGTTTAAAGCAACTACTGTTAAATTATGTATTTTAATAATGAATCATCTTAAAATTGTTAAAAATTCAAAGAAAACCTTTAAAACTTAAAGGGTGACTATGGTTTAAAAAAGAGAAGTTCGTTTTACGACAAATAAAATACTCGGTTATGTAAACTTAAACGAATTCTAAAAGATACATAAAGTATTTTAAACAGGCTAATTTCTTAACCTTGATGCTATCATTAAAAGAATGTTAAAAAAGAAATGAACAATAAAAATGTAGTAAATCTTAGTGGTATACTGAACTTACCCAGTGCTGGGTGGTCATGATCATGACAAAGACCAGCTCGGGGATCGAGAGCAGGCCGATGATGCCCGACCAGGCGAACAGGGGCCAGCAGAGCCCGCTGACCAGGCCGTGGATGAGGATCGTGGTGGCCACGAACATGACGAAGTAGAGCGAGCAGAGCGTGTAGGCGGCGAAGGGCAGCTCGCCGTGGGCCTCCAGTATCCAAGAGACCTCGCACGAGAAGGCCCCCAGATAGACGATCTGCGGGGAAATGCAAATGCAAATCGGAATGGAAATTAGCCGAGATTCGTAGAAGAAAAGCGAAAACATAAATCAGGCGATGGCACTTCGAGATGTACAGATGTGATGAGCAAGAAAAAAAATAACAGAAAAACCGGAGACAACTGTGCTTCGCAACCATCCATCAATCAATTAATGAGCTCCCCCACCCCGACTTGCCTGTCAACTTGGTCAGCAAGAAAAAAACACAGATGAAATTTTTACATTTGCGCAAAAAACGATTTCATTTCATTTTCACTTAATGGGGCAGAAATGTTTTCACACTGATAACGGTAACGGACAGAAAGACAGACATATAAACGGTAGAAAGATAGATTTATATAGATGGTAACGATATGGTGATATCACCCGAAGTTACTTACCAGCAAAAGAACCGCCACCACGCAGCAGATAATGAATAGATTCGCCTTTATGAAGCGCTCCATAATGCGTTCGTTCCAAAAGTTTTGTATGCTATTGCCGTTGCCGCCCGGCGGTCGCTTCTTCAATGAGGACGGCGACTGCTTTTCACTGGCCTTCTGATAATTCATTATTCGTGTTATTCGGTTGCGGTTTTGGTGGAAGATATGTGCGAAGTGCGGTTTTTTCGAGAGAAATTATGCTGCCAGGCGGGGAGGGTGGTTGAATGGTGGCCTTGGTTCCCCTTTTAATAGGAGGAACTTGGGGAAGGAGGATGAGGATGAGGCGGAGGCCAGTGATGCGATGCTATGTGTACTAGTTCTTGGTTTATGTTCGAATGGGTTTCGAGTCCAGACCGCTTGTGGGTTGAATGAAAGCGTTAAGCGGCCCAATTGAGCCGTGTCATGCTAGGTTGGTGCTGAAATGAGAATTTCGAGATGAGATGAGTCCAGTTCGATACTCGGAACAAAAGACTTAGGCAACGAACTTGTTTCGACTGCTACTCAAATACATACAAGTTGAGATATAAAAAAAGACCAAGCCAGCACTCTCAGTCAGTCGGCTAACGGCCTGTGCCATATAATTTAGAAGATTTTCACTTTTCTACACGGCCAGTTCGTTGTCCAAGTCTTTTGTCTGCTTGCCTCGAGCAAATATTTGACCCGATACAAATGGTGTCGCGTGCTAAGAGGAAGCTTCTGTCTAAATGCCAACTGAAACTGTTTACCAATTGCCAGTTACGAGCCACCTTATGTCATGACAAATGAATTTGCAAACTTAGCGGCAGTAACCAAATCATTAATCAATTACACTCCGCTGCCAAGTTTGAGGTTTTCACTCATTTGCAAACGAAAACAAGAGATGATGCAAAGGAAATATGCATATATAAATATTATACAGTGATATAAAGGGTATGATCCTTATAATAAATAAAATTGAATCGATACTCAGGCGAAACTATGATATATTTAATTAAATAAATCATTAGTTTAAGTTATTTAACATGGCTTACTTAAGTGCTGTCATTACGAAAAATAATGTTTTGAAATAAAAAGGAATCAAAGAAGAATTTCTTCAAAAAGCTCAAAATCATATACCGCAGACAGGACAGATTTCCTGAAAATTAAATTATAAAGTATTTCTGGCTATATATCATCAACAAATAATATAAATATCATGAAAAAAGTATAGATATGTCAGGCCTAGAGTTCATTTCTCAAAACCAATTTTATATTTCCTAATTTATTTTTATAAATTCAAAAAAAAATATTTATATTAAACTTGTTAGTAAACAAACAAACAAAAACCCAACGCCGAGAAATAAAACTACAAAAATGAAATGAAAAGTGAAACTGATTCATGCTAGGAAATGGGAGGCAATTAACAAATGGAAAGTAATTTACAGATTTATTTCAAACCATCGAAAAGAGCCGATTCCGTAGGCACTTGTAATGAAAAAAACCGGACCAATTATCCCAATGGCTGGCCCACGGAATCGTGTTGTGGAGTGTAAACAATTGAGATGCCTCGCCAACACATCACTCAGAGGCACCAGAGCCCAGTTATCCGCTTAGTCGGATACGGTAATCCGCCCATAATAGACACCGTCATCAAAATAGAGGCGACGAACTTGTCGACTCAATGTCGTCAGCACGCAGGTGCGCCGGGCTCATCAAGCTCATCATGGGCTGCGATGTTTATGATTATGATGATGAGATCCACCTGGAGGCGTGTATATATCCATGGGTTGGTCTGGCACTCCAAAGAAGGAGCGACGCACCGGATATGCGCACCCTAAAGTGTCGGGGTGGTGGTGACTTGCCCCATTGACATTCCGCCAACGTTGCAAGTATAGACCATGGATCTCCAGCTCTTTCCTGTCCCACTGACGATGCGGTTCTGGTTTTTGGCTTTCTTTGCTGGCCGGAAAGAATTGCAAGCCAAGTTTGTTTTATTGCTAATTAGCTGGACAAACTCATTCTCGCTGGGCTGTCCGGTTTTTCGGGGGCAGAGCTGACGTTTTTTTTTTCCTTTTGAGACGGGTTTTCGCCGGGGTTCGTCGGCTATTTATTAGCACTCAGCGCCGGGAAAAGGTGGCAAGAGATTTCACAGCGCCCTTGAATGACTGCCTAAGCCACACCCATGCGGCGAGGATTACGAAATTATGCAGATCCAACATGCATACATAATCTCTGTGAGCCCAATGTGACCGAAAAAATGCGAGCAACATTTCAAAATATTTTGCATTGTGCTCCCCTTCGCTCCTCGAACAACTAAATTAATTTAATTTCGCTATTGTTAACTATGCTATGAAGTGTTGTATCTGCAACGCGAGTTCAATAGCATAAGTGCAACAATGGATAGCAGTGAATGCGAATGCATGAATAAACAACAATGCAGGCGGCAAAGTTATGCAAATTGTTATTATGAAGTCGGTGTAAATCGAAATGGAATCGAAATGAAAAGGCCAATTCAAATGCGTGGCCGTTATGCTGTGCCTGTGCGTTTCAAAATGCAATCAGCTATTATATATGGCATATGTATCGATGCGATGTAAAATGTACCTTTCACTCGGCATTATGATTATTATTGCCAACGATCCGATTCATCCATTCCAAGCAGTTACAACAGCCACCAGAAATACCAAAAAACTTAATGAACAATAAGCGCGGGGATCGTAGAAATTATCAGTCAAGCAGGCAGAAATTTTTATTTTCTCAGCGACGCACTCACACACGCGGGCCCCAGAAATTGTTTAGCGTTGAGTCATTTCGTATGGTATAAATTGTTGAAAAGATTCGAAGCTGTCGCTCATGCAAATTGCGTCGCCCGACGACTTTAATGGGGCACATAAAGCTATACACACACCACAAACAACACCACCTAGTGGTTCTTGCCACTTTTACTGCGCGCACAAATTAAATATAGCCAAGAGAACTCGTTTTTGTCTCATCAGAAAAGCGAAATGTGCTCGTACGCAATTATATACTTTGATTGTTATTTAATTGTACAACGGTTGGGCCACCAGCACCAGGTCGGGTCAAAGTTGACGAACGTGAGAATGGTCGATATGTGTGGGTCACTCACTCCGTAACGTGCCGCGATAACGGTACGCTTCAGCTTGGCGCGCTCGCCAAACAGTTAAAAGTGAAATTCGTAGTTAAATACGAAAGACTGAGGAAACGAACTTGGTGCGCCGAACGACTCTGCGTTTTGCTGCGGCGGCCACGACGTCTGTTTGGCAACTGAAGAGCAGTTCGGCGCTTCCAGCTTTGAGTTTCGAGCCAAGCTCTGTAGCTCTGCTCTGGCCTGTCGTTTGTTGATTTACATTTCTGTGTCGGTTTCGTTTGTTTTCGCCGCTGCTGCTGCTGCTGCTACTGCTGCTGTGCAGCAAGTTCACTCGCCCTGACTCTTGTTCCAACAATTAAAACTTAATTTCTAACTGACGGCAATGATGCTGTCGGCTGGCTGGGGAACCCGGCCATTTGCATAATTGGATGCCAAAGCCCAGACGAAAATGAGGCCTAACGGTCATAGTTTTTGTTTGGGCCAGCTTTTAGGCCTGATAACAAATGGTCTCGGCTGCCTGTTCTAATTAAAGCCCGCCTGTGGTTTCTTTTTCTCTCGTTTTTCGTTTATTCAAAATTCAATTTGTGTGTGTGTTTCTTTACTAGCTATTGTGCCGTTGATATATATATCGTGTTTTCCTCCTTTCTTCAGGGTAAATTAAATCAAATTAATAGTATACCAAAGGCAACAAAAAATCGGTTTCAATTCCACTCAGTCTCTGGCTATCTAAGTATGAAAAGTAGTTCAACTAAATCAAAACTTGTAAATGCCTAGCTAATAGATTATAGCTTCATGATTGTTTCGGGGCGATTTCAAACGAGTACACTAATACAGCCTGTTTCAGCTAAAACTATGCTTAAACCAAGATAAATTAAGGCCTAATGCTCGGCAGTAGAGCCATTGTGAATCGGCTCAAGGGGGGCACAACCATCCAGCACTCCGCCCAACTGGCCAATGCGTTTGATTTGGTCCATCAGTTTGGCGATTTCGGGAGTGCAGTTGCGGAACTTCCTTAAATAAGAATAACCGCGCAGCATTTCGTTGTCCAGAACGCATCTGTAAAGGATTTACATTAGTCTACTACTTTAAATTAAAATGTTAGTGGTTCTACTTACATCAGGGCTGCCGCTGCAAAGTTACCCGTCCCCTCAAGATGCTCGAGCCACTTGTTAATTATGGTTTTGATCAAGGGATCCGTGGCTGGCAGGCAGATGCGCGCATGAGCCAGGGCCTCTTTGAAGTACTCGTTGGTCAGAAACAGATTAATGGCTTCTGACTGCATTCCCAGGCTAAAGAGATACGTAGCTGCGTGCATGATGAAGCCCTTTTCCTCCATCTGCTTGGCATAGGCGCGGCAGCAGTCCTGCCAAAGCCTGAAATACAACATGATTAAAAAAAAAGTCACTTTGGAAATATAGGGTTTAGAGCTTACGTAAAAGACACTGAGGGGGCCACCGAGAGATGCCACTCGGTAAGAGTCTTGTTGGCCATATGCTGCTCTAGCTCCTCGCGCAACTTGAACGTAGATATGGCCAGACAAAGAGGAGCTATGTCTTTAGTGTTCGAGTGCTTCAGATTTGTTACTGAAATAGTTAATTTATCGTTATAATCAATTGTAATTTAGGTCAAATTATATGTATCTAACGTACACTCTGTTGCAATGAGCTCCTTGGCCATCACCTTGGTACTGAAAAGCTTTGACATTAGCACTGACTTATCGATCTTGGCCGCGTCTTCGGTAAGAACAATGGCCAACTTCTCCAGGGCGCTCTTGTTGAGCTCCTTCTGGGTGAGGTAGAGACAGGTGCGGCTATGCTGTTGGTGGAAACATGATTAGTTTTAGTTCAAAAGATCCAACTGCAGACTCACTGTGAGGAAACTGTCGGGTGGTTGCCTAGCTTCTAGTTCCTTGCACTTTTGGCACTCCTTTGGGTTTATTTTCTGGGACTTGTTGTCCAAGCTGAGAGCTCCCAGCATCTCCTCTACAGGAGTCTCATTCACTGGTATATCGTTGACAGAGTTTTCGTTAACTGGAGCAACCGATTTTTGGACTTTCTTCTCTTCCTTGTTGACTGTCTCATTTTGTTGTTTAGCCGTCACTTTACGCTGCTCGCGACGCTGACGCTTTTTATCAGCCGCTGTGAGAACTGGAGCGTAGGGCTGCGTCAAGGACTTGCTAGCCCACTTAACGTTCAGCAGGGCATCCACTTTGGGGCAGATGCTCTTCTCATCACCGGCTTTAATGTCGATTAGCTCCACAGAGAGCGCTTTTCCCGAGCACATAATGATATTCTCGTTGGTGGGCAAAAACATTCCACACCACATGGGGCAGTGGTAGGTGATGGTTAGTGGTGGTTTCTCCGGCTCGTTGCAGTTCCACAGGCACACCTTTCCCTCGATGTGGAAGGTGAGCAGAAGATGCTTCTGGGTATGGCTCCACTTCAGCGAGGTAATCGAGGCCTTCTCCGCATTTGCAGTGAAAGTGTGCAGCGTTCTCCAGTTGCGCTCCGCAGGCTGGAACTCCATCACATATACGGACTTGTCGTTGCCCGCCACTGCAAACTTTTTGCTGTCCAACGGGCACCAGGCTATATCGGTCACATAGCGAGCCAGCAAAGCTGATTGACGGATAAACGGAGTCCAGGACTTGTCCATTCCCGAATCTCGCTCATGGAGCTGCAGTAGACCATCGTCGGTGCCCACAAAAAGGAAGGATCCACGGACACTGAGGTAACTGGGTCGAGAGATGCAGTTCACTACTATGGGCTCTGAAAATATAAAGGAAGAGTGGTCAATTTGAAAGTTTTATTTACTTTAATTCTTTTAGACAAGGTTTTTAGATAACATGTATTTTCTATTGGCAGTGGCCTTCTGCACATAAGGTATCGTTTAACAATTAAATAGAAATTAAAACCAGATTACGTAGTTCTTTTTGGTTTATTTGTACATGCTTTACATTCTGTGCTCAACCTAAACAGCTAATTAAATATTATTTAAAGACAATAAACTCTTTGTATTTACCCAAATAAAAACCCATTGTTTTCTTTGAATTTTAATTTTTAATGTAATCGTGAGACCATTTTAATGAGCAATTAAAAGTTAAGTAAAGCTTAAGTACCTCGAAAAATTGAAAGAGTAAGGGCATGACTAATTTATACGAATTCTACAAAATATTTAACTTACAGTGGGTAACCAAGGGCAACAAAACCTAACAAGCAGGCAAAAATTTAACAAGTCAGTCACGTTACACATTTTCTTTCATCGATTTCTGTCCTGAAATAAATTAATTGTTCATTTTATAAGAATGCCGCGGCACAGGACATTGGTGAACGTTGGGCATCGCATTATGAAGCGATTCCAGGAGCTGGATCTGAAGGTGGACGAGGAGTTCGTCGTCTTCGTGGTTCACCTGCTGGCAAGGGATCAGCGAAGAGGTCTGCTGAAATACGACCTGAATAAACCCACCGCCTGTGCCATTGACTCTTTTGTGAACACAATTGTGGATAGCTATGTGAATCCAAAGGATTGCACCATGGCCAACATGAAGATGGCATGGGTAATGAAGAAAGGAGAAACCATAGACCTCGAGTATGTGAAAAAGCAGTACGATGAAAAGTTTGAAACAGAGCTGCAGCTGGTCATTAATGACATTCTTAAGTACCCGGAGACCTGCAGTAAGGTGCAATTGGACCAGCTGTTCGCCAAGATGCAGGTCTTCATCGTGGCCCGCTACAATCTGGGCTCGCCCAAGAACCATGTGCTGCTCAAGCTGACGGCACAGGCTCTGTACAGCGTTATCGGACGCAGTGATCTGCAGAACTATGTCCTAAAGAAGAAGTACCATCGGCTGGAGTATCTGCAGCGTTTAGCTGCCACAGTGGGGGGCATAGTTATTTACAACAGTGATGGTCCCGATGGTGATAGGGAGAATGTTAGAAGTGGTAAGATCAAAACTTCCTTAATCCATATATAAGAAGCTTTTCTGATTCCAATATAATTGATACCTTTTTTAGTGGTCAATGATCTGGAAATGGCCCAGAAGAACACAGAAGCCGCCTTTGCAGCCAGCATGGAGAAGGCTGTTAAGGTGCAGTCCATCTGCCAGGCGGCCCTCGAAGACCTCATACAAATTGATCAAAAGGACGAGACCTTGACCTACCGCGTGCCCCTCGAGCACCTGGATCGCCTGAACCAGTTCTCGCTGACCTACTTTATGCTGCACCGCTGTCTAACCACTCTGAGCAAGCACTACCACAGCACGGTATACCTGATTGAAGTGGAGCAGAAGCGGTACGACTGCGTGGTGGCTAAGATTAACGATACCCTCTCTATGCGCACCGCTATTGATTCGGAACTAGTCTTTGTGAGTAGATTAATTTACCCCCGAGTTTGGATCATCCTAACGTTCTTTACTCTCCTAGCCGCACTTTGTGTACATCTCACAGGTGTGGGGCAATCTAAACAACTTCCTGAACCACATTGTTGAGTTGAACAAGCTGAGGGAGCAGGTGGAGGCTTTCGTGGTCGACGACCTGATGATCCTGGCCAAGGCTACAGTGGCCGAGCTGCAGGCCTTGAATAAACGCATAAAGAAGCCTAAGGTCTGCTCCTTTGAAGAGCGCATGGATGCCGTGAAGGAGCTGCAAACCGATGGCAATTTTTGCAACCTGAGCAAGGCGGACATAAAGGAGTTTTGCTCCCTTGCCATGACCATAACCAACGGCCTACTATTGCCGGCCCAGGTGACAAGAAAACTTTGCTCAAATGTGAATATTACTTTTGGCTTTCGGGACCACAGATACGCTCGTTTCGCAGAGCTACGCTTTGAGCCCTTCATAGCCGCCTTTAGGAAAGTGGTCTTCAACAATGCCAACCTTGCGCTGCTTTTTAAATTGGACGATACGTTGATAGAGCAGGAGCTGCAGGATCTCATCGTTGAACCTCCAAAGCAAAAAGATTTCGAGTGTCAAACGGAAATGGTGGTTACCAACGATCTATCGCCAGCCAACTGGATAAACGTAACATGGAATGCGTGGGACTATCACAGGGAAACCATCCACTTGGCCAACATCCGTAAACAGCAGACCAACGACACGCAGACCAAAATCAGCTATGGGCAGCGCAATGCCCAGAACCAAACCTACAACACTCGGCAACATAAGTGATAAGGGCAAAAATCTATACTCACCAGTTTTTGATTTGCTCAAGTCGAAAAACCCGAACACGCGATTCACGATGAAGTATATGAAGTGGTCCTGCCACACCAGGGAGTAGACTTCCTTCTTGTGGGGCGTCCGTAAGTGCGTCTTCACCTTCATGCGCTCCACATCAAGAATGCCAACCTGTTAATGTGTTAAGTAATTAGTTTGAGTCTCTAAAAAAATCGAATTAATAAAAACGCACCGTTCCGTCGAAGGTGCCAAAGGCGAGCTCCAAACAGTTTGGGCTCCAAGCCAGGGAGTAGACATTACTGGTCACATAGACGCTATCGATGGGAAGGCAGCTGGTCGAGAGCTTTGATATATCAAAGAAGGCCACGCGGCGGTCCGAGCAACCCAATGCGATTCTGATCGAGAAAGAAAAGTAAATTAATTCTGGCTCCTCAGTTGTTTAATATTAGCTTACTTGTTCATATCATCCGGACATTCGGCCATCGCTCGAACTCCGAATGCCACTGTGCCGTAGAAGGCACTCACTTGGCCACTCTGGGGATTCATCATTCCAATCTGCCGATTGTTCCTGCACAACCATATCATCTCCTTGCTGGAGTCACAGGAGAACGATACTACGTCCTGCAAATGGCAACTGTGTGCTTTGTCCTTGCTGATCTTGTAGCGAAGCATCTTCCGTTCAAACTCTAGTGACCAGAAGAACAGCTGATGGCGACTCAGGGAAACGATGACCTGGTCGTTCAGCCAGTAGACGTTGTTGAGCTTTCCTAAAAAGAAATGTGGTTTAATAATCGTTGCCGATGGTTATTCGCTCCCACTCACCTGCTGCCTTGCTCTTGCTGTAGTTCTTGCCAGCATGCGCTCCTGTATTCGCATTCCAAATCATCATCACCTCATCCCCATCAATGGAAACCAGCAGCGTGTCTAACCGAGTGCTGTTTGCGGAGGTCGAGCTGATGGTCTCGGTGCTGATGGCCGGAACCCTTTGGAGATTGCTCTCGGTTTCGGCCTTTGCCTGAGGAGTTTCAGAGGCATGCACCTCAGCCTGGTGATAGATGTGGTGCAGCACTTCTCTCTTTGGCTTTGCTGCCTCGCCATCGACGATCACGGCATCGTCACTGGAAGAGCTGTACTGAATGACCTCAAGACTGCCTTCGGTGGATTCACTGGCATCGTGTTTGTTGCTATTGGTGCTGGCATCACTCAACGGACCCGTGGGCTTCGTGGCCTCGCAGTCATTCAGAGTGACCTCCACGTGCTGGATGGTTTCCTCCTGGCGGTTAGCCAATAGATCCGCCTTCACACTCTGGCAGGCTTCGACAAAATCCAGGGCAGCAGCCCCGGCTGGCTTTTCCAGGCCGACAAATCCACCGCCGCAATCTTCAGAGGATCGGCGTCGCGCAGCCACAGGTGCTCCAAACTCGCACTCCAGGTGATCAAAATTGTAAATGTCAAACAAATCATCGGACTCGGCTGCCCTTGATTTGGTTAGCGGTGGTGGCTTTGCCTTGGGCTTCTCCTCCTGGCCCCCATTACGGCTTCGCCATTGCTCAGCCCTCGATGTCAGATCGTTAAGGTGCTCCTCCTGAGGAGCAGGTACCTCCCGCCAGGCCAGACCGCAGATGGGCGCCTTGTGGCCGTGAAACTTGTAGACGATGTTCATCTTGCGCAGGTCGCAGACCAGCACATTTCCCATTGCTGTTCCCACGGCGAACAGATTGTCGTTGTAGGGGGAGCAACGCACCATTGTGAGCTGGTGGTTTCGGGGCGAGATGAAAGTGGGGCGACGGCAGTAGCTGTTGGAGGCCACACAATAGATGACCAGGTCGCTGGCGTCAAGGGACAGTATGTTGCCGTTGGCCAGGTAGCTCATCAGCACAGAGTTGGTGGTGTGGTGCACTCCGCGCACATCCCGCGCCTCGTGCTGATGCTGATGGGCCTTGTGCCCAATGACGGCCTCTCCCAATCCGCAGTCCCAGACCTGAACGCTCAAATCATCGCCGACAATGGCAAACGGCTTGGCCGGACCGCCGTTGGCAGTGCCCCACATGGGACTCACGTCCAGGGCCAGGATGTTGATTCGCGTCGACATGGTCACCACTTGGGGCTGCTCGCCGTTTGCCGGAGGAGCGGATATGTAGTTGATGCAGCGAACGCCGGCGTACAGCAAACCGCCGTCAGGGGCGGCTGCCGCCAGGGACACGTTGCCCGGCGGAGTGGGCACATTGTGGTACATCACCTGTGAGTTCATTGCGAAGAATAAGGACTTGGCATTAGCGGAAATAAGGAATATTTCCCGCTAACATTTGGCGTCGTGCGGATTTTTTTCTTCGAAGCAGCTAGTGTTCGACAGCTTCGCAAGCTTTGCCAGTGCTGCCGGACTTTCGGATGATATCGTGCAGTGCTGTAGTATAAATCATTTTGGATAGTCACGATTTTTTTACAATTTTTAATTGATATACATTAAATTTTGAACAATTCAGAAATTATTCCGTCTTTTTTGCACAGCTGATAAGTACTTCAGTTCAAATTACCCGCCATTTTCAGTACCGATATCGTTATGTTCCCATCTGGCAACTGTAGGTGGCCAAATGGTGTTGGTAAATGCCAACACTAGTTCCCTGTGAATGGTATCCAGCAGGTAGAGAAGAAGAAGCCGCACAATAACAACGCAAAAAAGAAAAATCTAGCAAAATTTTAAACACTCCTAGAAAATAAAAGAAAACTAGCAACAATGGAATCGAAACGCGAGAGAAAGTCTTCCTTGGTATGTAGATTGACAATTCGTTGAAAGAAGAAAGAAAACCCTGATAGGAGTGCGATTTTCAGGCCCCACTTTCGCCATGTCCCATTCCGGATATTACCGATGATGATTTGGTCAGCATTTCGGTGAGGGATCTCAACCGGACCCTCAAGATGCGCGGTCTGAATCGCGAGGAGATCGTACGGATGAAGCAGCGACGGCGCACTCTGAAAAATCGTGGATACGCCGCCAGCTGTCGCATCAAGAGGATCGAGCAGAAGGATGAACTGGAGACCAAGAAGTCGTACGAGTGGACGGAACTAGAGCAGATGCACGAGGACAACGAGCAGGTGCGACGCGAGGTGGGCAACTGGAAGAGCAAGTACAAGGCCCTGCTGCAGTTCGCCATCCAGAACGAGATTCCCATTCCGAGCGAGCTGGAGGGCTGCTAGAGCCGTTTCGCCCCAGTCACATTCCTGTTTTTGTCAAAATTTCAATAAACCCCAAATGAAAACACCTGTAACTAAAGTACAATAGCTGGCAACTTCACCCTTCTGTAATAAACGTAATCTTCGCAAGCAACCCATCTGTGTCTGTCCACTGGAACACCCTGTATTTAGCCAGCATAAACAAATCGCGTGTTGGCGTTCGCTGCGAATGCCTAACGAGCCGGAGCGCACAAAAGGAACTTGGCGAAAAGCTGGTTATGTATTCACCTCGATAGCTCTGCGGTCCATCCATCCAGTTCATCCAGGCGCAATCGGAGGGCAGGAGGCCCACAGGCTCATTCACGGGAACACATGGCACTCCGTTTCTTTGGCAAGTCCTTACTGTACGGGCTGCCCCTAGGCGTCACTTTCCTGGACTGCGTGGGATATGTGGCCAGGGTGGATGGTGAGTGGTTGGGAGATCCAAACAGGGTCTGATTAACTCATCCACATCCTCCCGCAGGCATCTCCATGCAGCCCGCTCTCAATCCAGTGCCGGATGAGAAGGACTATGTGTTTCTGCTGCGCTGGGGCACCCACAACAGTCAGGTGGAACGTGGCGACATAATATCCCTCATTTCACCCAAGGATCCCGCCCAGAAGATCATCAAGCGCGTGGTGGGATTGCAGGGAGACGTGGTCTCTACGTTGGGCTACAAGCACGAAATCGTGCGCGTTCCCGAAGGCCATTGTTGGGTGGAGGGCGATCATACGGGTCACTCTATGGACAGCAACTCCTTCGGACCCGTGGCCCTGGGCCTGATGTCCGCGCGGGCAGTGGCCATTGTCTGGCCACCGGAACGCTGGCGGATACTGGAGAACGAGCTGCCACGGCGAAGAAGACCCATACAGGCCTCCAAGAACGCCAGCAACTACTACAACTAGACTGACCACCTGGAAGAGGGTCTGCGCACCAGATAGTTCCAATTGTGTACATAGCCACAGAAATACCCGTATATTTTATAATCAATTGTTGTGTTCCCGCATGCGAGGCAAGGTAGGATGTTCTAAATTAAACTTAGTAAAAAGCCAAAGTTGAATATTTTAATGGTAATAATGCGGTTCGGATATTCTTTGTTTAAGTTGTCATCCAAATAAAGCTGTTTACTCCTATTAATTGGCATTATTCATCTTATTACCAAAAAGCTTGAAGGCAAGTCTTTTTCAGAAAATTTTAATTTGTAATTGATTTGTAAAAGTTAAGCAAAAAAATTTAAATGAAAGAAACCTACAGATTAAAGCGACATTTATAATTTATTTGGATAGCTCTTATACTACAGCTTATTTCGCTCTTGGATTCCGAACTCCTCCATTACACTGATGGTTTGCTTGAGGGCCACTCCTGCCCGCACCACCTCGAAGTAGCCCGGAGTGGCCAGGTCTATGACCGTGGAGGCCAGTCGCCGCTCCTCGGTTAGTCCGATTCGTCCAGCATCGAAGACGGCCCCCAATTGCGGCCAAAGGGAGCGAAATTCGGACACTTGCAGGCTGCTTGGTGTACTGGAGCGATTGGCACTGGTCAGGGCCAAAGGCTGCTCCTGCCACACGGCGCACAGGTCGCGCATGAACTTGAAGTCCGGAATGCGAATGCCGATCTTGGAGGTGCTGGGATTAAGGAACCTGTTGCTCAGCTGGGGCGTCCGCTCGATCACGATGGTCAGGGGGCCCGGGAGCAAACGAGTTAGCAGCTCGTCGCTGAGATGGGCAGCCTGACCAAAGCGACGCAGAGCAGCTGTGTTGTGAACGCAGATGGCCACGGGCTTGTGCTCATCCCGGCCCTTAATCTCGTAGAGCCGTTGGATGGCTGACTCGTTGTTGGCATCGCAGGCGAGGCCGTAAACGGTATCGGTGGGCAAACCAATAACCTGTCCACTCAGCAGGCACTGACGGGCTAGCTGAAGAGCTGCCTCGTCCCCAACTGAACACACTGGAGTCCTTGCCTCACTCACTTGGTGTTGCATCCTGGTGGACCTAAGGTGAGCCTGGAAAAGACGAAGTAGCTGTGTCTGAAGGCGGCGCATTAGTCTCGCCAGGTGTGATTGCACTCGTGGTTGCAGCACTTGTAGAACGTGGTCATGGGCTCATCCGCCGACCGCGTCTGGATTTGCATAAAGTACGCCCGCTTGTGGCTGCACGTTGGGCACTCCGCGTCCGTCGAGTCCACGTTCTCCCAAGCCGCCTTGCCGCCCAGAACGTGGTCCACCTCCTGCAATTGCAGAAATCAGAGATATTATCACAGATTGCATCATCCAGTGGGATCCGATCTTACCTTCAAGCGGGGAAAGGTCTTGGTGGAGATCTTACGCCTGATCTTCGATATATAGGGGCAGGTGTTGCACGTGAAGCGGTGGCAATTAGTGTCCTCCTCGATGATCAGTATGTTTCCGCACGAAGGGCAGAAAAACAACATAATTTCGGAGAGTCCGAATACGCGTTGTTTGGTTTGATTTGAGCACGTTGAAAATGTTTCCTGGATTGCAGTGTGACCGCATAAACATTTAAAAATACTGAATGTAAAAACTGAAATTTACAGAAGGAATGTAAAAACTGCTATAAAAAATGTATGTTTTTACTTGCTATATTGAGTTACTGAAAATTATAATTTCTTGAAATTCGAAAAAAATCTTGCTTATAATTGAGATTTGCTGTTTTACATTTTTTCCCGCCATATTTCAGGTGATAATCATTTATGATTTTTTAAAAGGCTAACCACACTTTTCTCTCATAGCTGACGAAGGGAAATCCCAATCGATAAATCGATCTGAGTCCTAGGCTCTATACAAATTTTGCCAACTCGTAATAATTTTCGTTCAGATTAAAATATGTTTAAAAATTAAATACATTTTTTGAAAAAGCAAAACTGTACCCTCCTCATCGATATCAGAAGGTACAAGTTTTATCTTGTTATCGTCTATCGATAGCAGAAGATGCAAACTGGAGGCATTCGGCAATCTGGCAACAGCGGACTTGATAAATATATTATATTTAGATTAAACAAAATGAGCTCGAACCACCGTCCCCTGGACGATTCCGATATCCTGCTGATCCGGACCATCCGCGATACGCCGTCGCTGTACGATCCCCAGCTGCCCTCTTTCCGGCTCTCTCAGCGTAAGGAGGAGGACTGGGCCAGAGTGGCAAATGTGCTCAATATCTCGATCATGGACGCTCGGAGGCGATGGACATGTCTGCGGGATCGCTACTCCCGGGAACTCAAGCAGATGCGTCTACATCCCTCCGGTGATTTTGGCCACAACGACTTCTTCCGAAAGATGGACTTCCTGAGGGATTTTGTGCGAAAGCGTCGTGAGCGACGAGGGCGAGACCGGGATCAGAAGCCATCTGGCTGGATGAAGGTGGATCTACAGCGACGACGTCGCATCCGTCTACCCATAGACACGGACTCGCTGATCGAGGAGAATGGCTCGGGGTATGAAGAGGGCGAGGAGCAGCAGGACTACGATACAAAGCTGGAGACGCAGACCACGCACTCGGAGACATATTCGGTGCTCGTCGAGGCGGACGATGGCCAGGAGCAGGAACAGGACAGCTACGAGGATTTCCTGGCCGATACAGAGTGCGAACAGAAGGTCAAGGTGGTCACTATCCATCCGGAGACTGCTGCTCCGAAGGCAATGTCCAGACCACCGAGTGCGCCTGTGGAGCCCAGTCAGGTGGACATAAACTATGTGGTCTGTATGCCGCCCGATGTGGGCCAGGAGCGTGAGAATTCCGCCACAGAACAAGGCAATCCCTCGACCAACAACCTCCCTAGCAACTCGGAAACAGAGGACGACTTCTTCTGCAAGTCGATCGCCGCCTACCTTCGTCAACTCTCGCGCGTGCACAAGATCAAGGCCAAGGTGGAGATGTACCAGATCCTGGAGAAATACATAATGCTCGAGGAGAGCGGAACGGGGCCGGGTGAGGGCGGATCGGGCTAAGCAGGATGCAGAATACATATGTACATAGGTTTTAACGTAGTTTTTTAATGCAGTACAAATATACAAAGTGACGAAAATCTTTTGAGCTTAATCTATTGATGTACTTAAAAAGAAATGGAGTCTTAGCAGAAGTCCTCGTTGATTATGTTGGCATCTACGGCCAGTCCTCGTTCCTTTAACGCCTTGGACACCAGGCGGTGCTTCTCTTGCCGCTGCTCCTGTTCCCTGCGCTGGGCGTCCAGGATTTCGTCGACGGATATCTCCTTGAGCGGCAGCTTTTGTTCCTTTTCGCGATCCTTTTATGAGTATTGCGAGGCTGTTAAATCAGTTTATATTTAAGGGTAACATCAAGCTTACAATTTCGCCCAGAAGCACCACATTCTCGCCTCGAATGATGAAGACTCCACGTGGAATGTCGCCGTACTCGTTGCCCACATGTATCCGCTCGATGGTGCGCTGCAGCACCAGGTTGGCGAACTGGTCCACGGATCGCAGATACCCAATAAGAGTCCGTCCGTCCCTTAAAAGCACCATCAGTTTCTCTGTAAGGAGCCGGATTTGAGATTCTGTCGTTTTTGGTTTCCCTCGAATCTGCATCTACTCACTGTCAACCTCTTCCAGGAGGTGAGCCGTGCCCGCCAGAGGATTTAGATCGTCCATGAGAAGATTAGGAGGTAGTGTTTTTGTTTAGCTAAATAAATAGGTTCAAGTCACCGTCTTAATTATATATGTTTAGTTTTGATATGACCACTGCTCGGCCATTTAAAGACACCACAGATATCTAAAAAATATACTAAAAATTCAATAGCACTGGCCAACACAATTTTGACAAGTGTTTTGCATAACAGATTTTGGGGAATCCCTAAACTGTCATTATCGACTTATTTTTTTAAGAAATGAAGGAAACAACACTATAAACATTTAATTTTTAGTCTTATACGAAGCAATTGATCGCCTATTTCAATATTTTTTATTACTAATTTGTAAATCGAAGTATGTATGCCTTTCAAAAAAAAACATGTACAATTTCACCGTTGTTATTAGGAATTCAAAGAATTTTTATGTAACGCCAATGTAGCTAATACTCTTAATAAAAAAACTTCTGTTTCTTGTAGACCAGTGTAAGTTTGATGGTATATTTTAGTGCATTTTTGGGAGACCGGTAAATGCTAGCGGTCTGGTTGACCGGTCACGCTTGTTTTGAAACCGAAATTCACGAAATTCGCACAAAATGAAGTAAGTTTTTGAATAAGACCAATGGAAATGTCCCGCTAACAACCGAATCCGTATCCCCAGGCTCAGCGTGGACGGCTTGTTGGTGTACTTCCCATACGAGTACATCTATCCAGAGCAGTATGCGTATATGCTGGAACTCAAGAGAAGTCTGGACGCCAAGGGTCACTGCCTACTGGAGATGCCCTCGGGAACGGGCAAAACGGCCACCCTTCTGTCCCTGATCGTGGCCTACATGGTGGAGCACCCGGAGACGGTACGCAAGCTGATCTACTGCTCCCGTACAGTTCCGGAGATCGAGAAGGTCATTGCCGAGCTGCAGAACCTGATGGTCTACTACGAACGCCACTGCCCCAATCCACCGCCCCTCACCGGCCTGGTGCTCAGCTCCAGGAAAAACATGTGCATCCATCCGGAGGTCAGCAAAGAGCGCGAGGGGAAGGCGGTGGACGGCAAGTGCTACGGACTCACCGCTAGCTACATTCGCGAGCGGCACGAGATGGACACCGAGACGCCCATCTGTAAGGACTTACTATAACTATTTGGGGAGCACTATGATATAAGCTATTCATTTGCAGGCCAGTACTTTGAGGGATTCAGCCTGGAGGGCAAGGAGTCCACATTGCCAGTGGGCGTCTACAGCATCGATGATCTCAAAGAATACGGACGAGCGCGCAACTGGTGTCCCTACTTTTTGGCCCGCTATGCTGTGAGTTTCGGGACTACGAAGCATTCGATTTTGTGGTTGATAAAATAATTAATCATGTCGGAAATGCCTCGTTTAAATTTATATCTTCCATTACAGCTGTACTAATCTGTGTATGAATTGTTCTTCACCAGATCGCCCATGCTCACATTGTGGTATACAGTTACCACTATCTGTTAGATCCAAAGATAGCCCAGGTGGTATCCAAGGAGATGAGTCGAGAGTCCTGTGTGGTTTTTGATGAGGCCCACAACATCGACAACGTTTGCATCGATTCGATGAGTGTGAAGATTAACAGACGCACCGTGGAGCGCAGTACAAACGCCCTAAACCAGCTGACAAAACTGGTTCAAGAGTATGTTGACCAGATTCTCCTATTCGTTGGCCAGATTTAATAAATAATTCTTCGACAGTATTCGGGAAGAGGACACGAATCGCCTGAATGAGGAGTATCAACGCATGGTTCAGGGCTTGAAGGATGCCAGTGTGCAGCGGGACACGGACATGATCCTGGCCAATCCAGTGCTGCCCAACGATGTGCTGACAGAGGTGGTGCCCGGAAACATACGTAACGCCGACCACTTTCTCAGTTTTTTACGACGCTTCATTGAGTATATTAAGACGAGACTGCGTGTCCATCATGTAGTTCAGGAGTCGCCGGCCGGCTTTCTCAAAGATATATCCTCAAAAATTTGCATTGAGCGTAAACCCTTGCGGTTCTGTGCCGAGCGCTTGTCCAGTCTGTTGCGAACACTCGAGATCAGTGATATGACTGAGTATGGAGCCCTCACTCTGGTAAGTTTTCACCCATCCCATCATAGAGCCATGATTAATGTTTTACGTTTTCTTTAGATCACGCACTTTGCCACCCTGGTGTCCACCTACACGAAGGGCTTCACCATCATTATAGAGCCCTTTGATGACAAGACACCCACTGTATCGAATCCAATTTTGCACTTCAGTTGCTTAGACTCGTCTATTGCCATGGCTCCGGTGTTTTCGCGATTTCAAACTGTGGTCATCACCTCAGGCACATTGTCGCCCATGGACATGTACCCAAAAATACTCGATTTTGATCCCGTGGTTATGAGCAGCTTTACCATGACATTAGCGCGTCCATGTCTGCTTCCTATGGTACTATTAACACC